GGTACCGTATTTGGTCAAAGGTGATCAATGGTTCGGTTACGATGACATTCAATCAGTCACTAATAAGGTGAGTTGACACCGTATTCTGTCAAAAGCATGCTCTTTATGAACTCAGCGAACATCTGTTCCCGCATAATCTCTGAAAAAGAATGTTGCGGTAATGTGCAAATAGCAACTGATCATGAACACGTTAACGCTTACTGTAGTGAAACTGCTCGTTTAGATGAAATACATCAAGGACAATGGATTTGCGGGTGCATTCGTTTGGACTTTAGATTTCGACGACTTCAATGCGCAGTCTTGCGGTAAAGGACGTTATCCGCTTATCAGTTTATTCGCAAAAGAACTCGGAGGAGGCGTTGTTCCGGTGAGCTGATCCTATCTTTTCAATGCTCATGTAAATGATAATAATAATAGCAATGATGACATTAGTGCCATAAATAATACCTAATAATAGTGATTAATAATGGTATCAGTGATATTGATGATAAAATCACTGATGATAATTTCGATANTACAATAACACTGATAAAAGCATTCACATGTTGATATAACGGTCACACTAACTTGACAGTATTGCAGACATCTGGACCAACACCATGGAAACCGACCACTCCCTCGCCTGTAACTTCAACAAAACAGCCAACAACACCGTACCCAATCACAACACCAGGCAGTGGAGGTTCATTCATATTATCGTTCTAGATCACCACTTCTCAATTTTTTTAAACCAGCCGCTGGTTTGTAAAACCCCAAATGCTGAGACTGTGGCCAAATCGCGTCCTTCTCTTCTGCCGAGCGCATCCTTATTCAACAGGTGTTTTCAAGACCGACAAGAGAACACTGCGATAATCTTTCAAATAGTTTTTTTTTTCATCCGAATTCACATCGTTGTCAAAGAATCCATCCGAATTCTTTTCCATCCGAAGTAGTCTTCGTTCACTGCTAGCTTCTACTGGGAACTCGAAGAGCCGTTCGATAATAGACATATTTTCAGGATTCCAATGCTCTTCAGATGGCTTCTTTCCTGATCCAGCGGACTGCGGATCCTTTTACCAATGCAGTGGTAATGTCGCTTATCACATGCAATGCCCTGGAGGACTGCATTTCAATACCGCAATAAATTCTTGCGATTTTCCAAGTTCAGCCGCATGCAGCAATTGAACACTGATGTGTGAGGAGGAAACATTTTATCTGCATCATCGCATCATCCATCATCAATGCCCATATTTGCACATTATCGTTGAAGAAAGATATTCGGATTTGACGCAATACAAAGCTGAACTCTTATTCAGTACTAATGAAGTTCACCATATTAATTACCTCAGATTCGAATTTGTTTGTTACCTCTTGCTATGTACCTCATTCATATTTGTTGATGACACGAGAATGTTGTTGAACAATCCTTTGATCAGCTCAACACATATCTTGCTCATCACTTTATCATGTCAACTTATCTAACTAATATTGCGACTTTGTTGCTGTTTTGGTCGATGTTGCCATTGGTGTCATTCCTCAACATCTAGTTCCAATTCTTTTAATTTTTATCTGTTAAGGTTTCGAACGGTAATAGGTTTTCTTTGATTTCGCTTTAGTTGTTCATTAGTGATCGCTTATTGTAGCTTGTACTAAAAACCAGTAATCTGGCAATAAACTAATTTGCGGTATGCCCAATGTCTTTGGCATGACTCGACCCCACACCTAAATCATTCAATTGAAACGTCCGCTTGAACGCGATGCAGACAAGTGCAAACGAATTTAAACTTTATTCACTCAATTCAAAATACAATCCACAAACACATAAGTAATCAGTGATCCTTACATTAAAACTCGATGATAATCTCCCACTGATAACATGACTGAAAAATAAACGAACGAATCGAACTTGCAATGAGATACAACATGAAAAGTATGTGACGATGAGGAGCAACAAATGGACCCGTATGAAAATCAAACAGAAAATCCATGAAGCGTGCAGCAATCATACAAGAGAAAAAAACCCACGAAACAGCTGCGAACGAATGTGGCATGAAGAAGAGAACTTAAGACAATAATCAAATGATTACAGTGAAATTACTGAATTTGTTGAAGACAATGCAAAAGTCGTCAACATATTTGCACACATATAAGATAACTGAGGTGAAAATGGCACACTCCCACAAACACTCAAATTGCACTGATTGAAATTTATGGCAGGATGAAAATGGAATGAAATCTAAATTTGTATGTAACACGAGTAATGCATGGAATGATATTATAGGACAACGACAACATCATAAAAACAAATAATTTGATGAAGGAAGTTCCTTGCTGATTGTATTACCGCAGTTCAATGAAATTGTTGCTACCGTTAATCTACACCAAAGTGAACCGTCGTCTATGTTCTAATTGAAGATAAATTTTGAAAAATGAAATTATTCACATTTCCCTTGATTTGCAAAATTTTATCCTACTAAGTTTATCCTATTGCAGTCCAAACGAATCACCTAGTTGCAGACAATGCAACTGAATAAAAACTCAACTGACAACTATTCATCTGCATTTCGTAATAAGGGTTTTAATTTCAGACATTTGTTCATGAATCATGTCATCTTTTTTTTCGATTTTATCCACCTTATCAAGGTAAATTTGTGCATTGTCCTTGTCCTTCTTCATCGCGTAACATCTCGCCAAATATAACAAATTTTCGGCCCATGCAAACGTCACATTGTGCTCGGCCTGAAATCACCGCTGCTGTAATACTTAAAAGCCACGATGTAATCGACGTAACCTCACAAATAGAGATGTTCTCAAAAAAATTCAATTGATTTGTTCATGATCATTTAATCGAAACCCATCACATAACATTCCACTTCACCATTTTGTTGACAAGGATGATAATATCATCTAGCTGTGATATAAAAGCATTTGCAAATGTCGTTCGAAATTAAGGTAAGTTCAAGTTAACCTCAATGAAGTCTTGCAGAGCCATATCAATCGAAGCATCGGGTAACGTTGTAAAGAGTGCGTTGCAAACTTTTTTCTCGATCCACGAAAGAGTGGCTACTTCAAATGTGAAACGACCACGAAGATGCAGAAGAGTGAACTCATTGGGATTTATCTTAATCGCTTTATCCAAATACTCCTTAAAGGCAGATCAGTTCATTATTCAATCAATCAATCTCTTGTGTGCTCACTACGATGCTCAACTTAGAGACATACATATTTACTAAGCAAGCTGAGGTTGAATCATAACGTGCTAATGCAAAATTCAGTCATATTTACACATATGTTTAACTTTAATAGCATTTACCGTTTATTGAAATCTTAAACATATATTAACACGCAATCACTGCACAAATCAATTGCCAACGATCGCTCTTCATTCAACTGATTCTCACAGTGAATCAACTTGAAATCGTATATCTCGTTTCAGGATTTGAGCCATTTTAAGAGGATATGATGAGATGTGCCTTAACCTTGAAAATGTGTCCTTGTTCAGCGCGTTCTTTCGGTCCCATAAAGTCAGTTGCAGCGCCAGTGAGTATCGCCACCCATCGTAACGCCTCGAAGTTGTTCTCGTCCAGCTTATACGCCGAATCAGCGTAGACACGACCTGAACAGATTCATTCAGTTTCTAATTTGATGCCAGAAGGTGCAACTGAGCCATCATACCATAAGTGAACCTCCAGCTCAATAATCGTCATCATAAGTATTCAACTGAATTATTCATGATGAGTTCAACGTGATGCAACTCATTTTGCTCTATTCAATGGACAATTTCATTCGTCGGAAATCGGTCGCTTAGTATCCCTCTGGTGAAGGGTCATTGAATAATGATATAAGTGCTACGAGTGCACACATGATCACATCAAATTTCACCGAATGATTTCGATCAATGCCGTTCTAGAAAGCACAACGATTCTGAAGTTTACCTTCATAGATGAAAAGTTTTCTTTTC